CGTTGTCCACCATTTTCCCCAAATCCTGTAACATTTCCTTGACAGTATCGAGCATTAATTGTTTTTGTAGCATCTACATAAACTGAAGGTCCTGGATTCTTCTCTATATCAGCGGTACAAAGCTTAAATTTGCCAAAGTTAACCCGGTGATTCAAACTGTTTTAAGCACTAAAAAATGGATAATTGCATGTACAAAGAGGCAAATTCTTACTTAGAAGCCTATTTGGATATCTCATTCCACCTAAATCGCCTGTGCTCTGATGCTTAGACGACAGATACACCTTCCCTCGTTTACGAGCTAGTTTTGGAGTTGCCCCTTAAGTAAAAACCTCACACTGTTACAGTTACTTACTAAGTGTAAACCTTTTCTATTTTTAACGTAACAATGAATTTCAGACGACAATGGTGTATTTTTCCGAATACTCTTCCATACAAAAGTGTCACTTTCCGTGTTTTCTGTAACAAAGATTTTAATTTGTTCATCGGTAGTCTGCTAGGGGCATGACGGTAAGCGGTCATTTTGTTGACATTGTTCCAAGTCAGATCGTTCCAATCGAGAGTCAGATCGTTCCATAAAATAGTCAGTTCGTTCCACAAATGAAAAAGTCAAGTAACTCTTTCTAAATTTGTTGAGTGAACTTTATCGAGAAGAAAAACGTTTCGTTCATACCACAAGCTGACAAAATAATAATCGATCCAAGGTCGATTCGATCCATCCTAAATCGTTTGAAAACATACAAGAGACGCTTTCAACCAGCCACGGGCTTTAACATTTAAACCGCAGCTTTGAGAGTTTTCGAGCTAGAATCGATCGACAGTTTTGAAAGATATAGCACAACAAGTAAAAGCTATGCCGTTCTGAAGGTACAGTATTTCGAAGCACTTGTAACCTAAATATTTCTTTGGAGCGCCCGATTTATGCAAATTTTGAAAACAACGCGAGTTTCGAATTACAATCTCGATTTCATGGTAATTTGTCATGCCGAAAATATAATTGACTAACCTGATTTAAACCAATGAAATTGTAAGTTCTGTTATAAAAAAATTTCCCACGACGAGATCTCACTTCAACTTCTTTTATTTCCTCCACAACACAATTTTCCTTCTGTACAACTAGCTCATTACCTTCTCTTGTCGTCACCTCGCTGCCATCAAAACACTCTAACATAAAACTTGCTGATAATGCAAAATCCCGACGCACAGCATCGTACATGTACCGCGTCACAACATACGCAATTAGATGAAAAAACACAACACGCAATACAAAAACAAGTACAGTAACCGTCACCCTGCTAAACAAAATTGAAATAATAAAAAGAATTGTTGCAGTTATCACAGTAGTTCCAAGAGAAGCCTCAGTCCCTTTTGGTTTCAATTGTTGACAATCGTCTCTTCCTTCATCCGAAGAGATTTTTATCACAGGCAACTCGCTGTGTTCCGCAATGTAAAAATCAAAATCACCATTGTCACACTGATAACCAGCTACACAAATCTTGCGATTCTCAAACTTGTTCAACATTTCTCTGTTCAAACTCTTATCCATTTTACACGTACACTCCTGATATTCCGATTTGTTATAACGTCTATGGGGTCCATGAGTCTTTGATGTCATTGAAGGTCTTGATAATTTCCTTTGTTTTTCTTTGAGTTCGCGGACCAGCCCATTCCGAAAACACTCTGTGTTATTTTTTAGTGCGGGCCTACCGCGAACTGTGTGTGCATTTGTAAGTTTAACCCGGGATAACATGATTGAAACGACACGCTGCGGCCAAATGTTATCCAAACTACTTCTCACTGCTGCTTCGAAAAAATTCGAATCAAACGATATCCAAATCATCCCTCATTGGATTATGCACTCGACCTAACAAAATCGACCAA